TCTGTTATCACCTTGTGGGCTGCTTGCGAGTACATTCAAAGTACCCATTAGCTTGTCCCTGACTATTAATTGGTTAGACATGGAAGATCAGGAGTGTGAAGAAGCGTGCTTCAATGAGGATCATGGGAACTATCATGCTTCTGAGTTAGTCAGTTGCATATAAGGTTAAGGCATATGGCATGGGTCCAAGTTATCAGCGATGTTTTCATTGCAAGTGTTCTTTTGAAGTTCCACCTTTGAGGCTTTTATTTACATAAGACTTGACCATGTTGGTCTTATTTATGTAAGACTCAACGTCATGTAATGGATGTAAACTCTTATACTAGTTTGTTGAATGTAGTGACACACTGATCATGGGATCACTGTTGCGTGTACTATTGATGTCTTTGGTCTTAAAGATTGGGTTACCCATAGGTGTGCATGACACAATTCCGGTGTTGTGGAGCTTTTGATCCGACGATATCGGATTATGGTCCCCTTCCCTGCAGTAGTGACATGGTAGCTGCCTTAGACACCTGGTTGTCTTTCATATGCGCTCGACGGGCATGGACCCTCATCGACTTGCATATTTGTCTCATTGTTCATGTTATCCCCTTGTTTGTGGCTGCTCCCGGTGGCTTCTTGCTGCACTCAGGTGGCCTCGACCTACGGCATTGTGGGCGGTAGTCTTGCTCTGCGGCTTCTATGGGCTTCGAGGTTGTCAACCCTTTAGCTCTTGGGTGAGCACCTACCATGGTGGAAGGGTTGGGGCCCTCTTCGGCATGCAAGGAGGATGGCGCTAGGTTCGTCGTGTCCAGTGATGGAACTTTGTTTCAAAACCCCAATTATGTTAGCAAGCTTCTCCTCGGTGTGCTTCTCTTGCCAACTTTCATGGTGTTTGAGTGTTGTGGTCTTCGACATTTGCTAGCTTGCTCATCTTTATTTTTTCCCTTGTGTTAGTTTATGCGTTTTGTTGTAAGCTATCCAATGTGTTCCCTTATATTGTTGGGTCGGTATGTACTATTTTTTATTGTGATACCTCATGGTCGGTTGATGGTTTGTTAACTCAAAGTCAGGCTCACCTCGAGCCTTTTCTATGGAAATTATGTCTTACAATTGCCATGAGTGTCATCATGTTGATGAGGGGAGGACATCTATTACTCTTGTTATTTCACCACCTCCTGATATTCTGAACTTTGGATCCTTTTGCTTTGCAATTCCTCCTACGGATGAGTTGAAGCCCAATTTTAGAACACCACCAATGTGTTTCGGCGAGGCCAAATAGGAGGCTCAAAATAATTGATTACCCGCGCGTCGGTTTAGTTTATTAGGCCGAACATTGCTTTATATCGAGGCCATGTCATGAGCCATAGAGTTTATTTCTTTAGTTATGTTATTTTAGTCGGTATGAGCAAGTCCAATCCGAATAGTTTTAGTTTTAGGGTTTACCTATATAAGCTAGCTGCCGGCCATTGTAATAGGGGAGTTGTATTTTCGAGTTAAGAATAGACAGGAAAAGGGTTCCATGTCGGGGACTCCAACATCGTTTATTTTGCTTGCTGATGCGCAAGAATCTGTTATGTTGTTTGCGAAGTAGATCTAATCTGCTCAACAATCAAAGTTATATGCTAGTTCTATCGTTCGTCGTGAAAGATTAGGCCAAAAAGTCTAGGATCCTTACTTGATCCTTATCACATGTCCACATTCTACCATATTTGACCTAGCTCCTCCAAGCCAGAACCTTTTTTTCAATGATCTCGGTGGTTACATGTTGCATACATAGGGCCAATCCTTTTGGTGACTTTTTTGGCTTCTAGAATAAGCTGCCCCCTACGGAGCTTATTCTAGAAGCCCAACCCAAAATAAATTTTTTATAAGGCAACTAGTCAAGTATTAATTAGTAGGCTTTAAAAAATAAATTTGATTGGGCTTCCAAAATAACCTGGGTAGGGGGCAGCTTATTCCAGTTTCTTCTAGAAATCAACAAAAGAACTGGCCCATCGTTATCATAATCCATTTCTCAAACTGAAAAGTTTTTGTAACCATGAAAAGATTTTCATCTGTACATAACTAATTTATCCACTATATATAGTATTTCTAAAAATATATAGAAAATATCATCTAATACACTCTGTAATTTTAGAGCTCTCTCATTAAGTCAAGTATTGCATTGGAATTTGGTTCACGATTTTGACCGCTCAGAGAACTTCCTAATTCAATTAAGATAATCAATTTTTGATTTGATTCATGATTTTGATTGGGTCAATGAGTTCTTTAAATTAACCAGCCACTACTCTCCCTAATTTTAGAGCCCTCCCATTCACCTAAGGTGTTACATTTGAATTTGGTTCACGATTTTGATCGGGTCAACGATTTAACAATGAACTCTCTCAGTCAGTTAAGATAATTAATTTTGGATTTGATTCACAATTTTAATTGGATCAACAATTTTTCAAAATAATCGGCAGCAACCAGCCTAAAAACACATCAGTCCCGCGCATCCTCTTACTGTCTAAACAGAAGCGTCAGTATGTGACATTGTAACACTAATATAATACATGCAGTCACCAGCACAAGAAACATCTGAGTTGATCAGCAGACACCACATAATCACAGTCGCAAGAAAGCCCAATAAGACCGCACTATAAAAACACACACATATACACCATCTTCCTCACCTGACAAACCAAATTATAAAAAGCACACATATGCACCATCTTCCTCACCCGACAAACCAAATAGCAAATGGAAATTCCTCACAACACCAACGGCACAACGAAGCGGGTTTAACTCTTCTGACTACTTTTCGTTTCTTGATTTAACATTTTTTTAGGAGTGTTTCTTGATTTAACAAATCTCTACTACTAAATGGTGTGATGCCTCAAACATGTGACCCTGCTAAATCCAGGGAATCCGGCTCCTCCCCAGTTTGTGGCAGCCACCAACTGGACTTTCGAGGTCCACGGACCTAAATTGGTGTTTGTTTGCTAACAATGATGGGGCAGATTAGGGTAACATGGCTTGCGGTTGGTTGCCATGGTGCAACTTGCGGGCAATTCAATCGCTCGCTTGTGTATTGTATGGCTTCCGCCCTGCCTTGGATATCACGGCTGTTCGGTAGGGGGGTCTCCCACGTCAAGCCAAGCGCACGACACCTTGTGGTTCCAGGCCGCGAGCGGCGCGTTGGGGGCGGCCGGGGTCGGTCAGCATCGGAGAGGGGAGAGGGGGAGTGGGGTCGTGGGATTGGGATTGGACACCGCGCTGCGCGACGCGGAACGACACGGGGAGCACGACGTTTCGCTGCCTGTGGGCCGACGAGTTTAATGGCGTTTAGCCGGCCGGATTATAAGAGGGTGTTTGTTTTTAGAGACTTTATTATAAGTCTCATCTAAACCAAATAGAAGGGACTAATAGGGATTTAAAGTGAGCTTTTGAGACTTATGAAATAAGACTCTCAAGGAGAGACTTATAGAGACTTATAGTTATAATATGGTCTTTTAGTCTATATTAAGTTTCAACAACCAAACAAATAGGAACTTTTTAGAAACTTGAGACTTATAAATTGAGACTAAAAAAGTCTTAAAACTTATGAACCAAACATGGCCTAAGTATGTCCGCTGCAATGTGGCTTGAATTGGCCGGCACGGTTCGCCAGGGCCTATGGCCGTGGATTTTGTTCCTTCCATACACGACATTCCTTGATCATCTTCACAATGGCATTTGAGCCTTTGACCAATCAGAGTGATTTCATCGCAGAAGTCCGATCATTCAGCAGAGTAACCACCAAACCCAAGTATCCAACCATGTCTGAGGACAATAATAAGAGTAATCACACGCACACATACATATATATGATCTTACGACATAGGGGCCCATGTCGTCGAGTTCGCCTAGGGCCTCCCAAAACACAGGGCCGGCCCTGCATAGAACATCCTTCATTGTTTATAGTATCAATGACCTCTAAGTAGTCAGAGTTAATAACAAGACAGTTGCACTCCATCCTTTATGCAAGGGACAAGTCGTATGGGAGTGTCAAGGCTTCCGCCGCTAGGACACCTGCGCACCAGTCTATCTTCCTATTTCCCCGGCAATGGAATCTCCTCTATCATGCCTGAAGACCGCCCCGACATTGCCCCTGAGCACATCATTAAAAACTGAAGTATTCGTTGCCAAGGCATCCGACTACTTGAGTTTTAACTACGACAGCTTTACAAATATTGCTGAAGACCGCCCCGACATTGCCCCTGAGCACATCATTAAAAACTGAAGTATTCATTGCCAAAGCATCCGACTACTTGAGTTTTAACTACGACAGCTTTACAAATATTGCCGCCAATCTGGGCCCAAGTGTTTCATTTTCTATACACCATCGAAGCACGCCACTGCAAACCAACATATGATTGGATGGTTAGGAGGACAGTGGTATCTCCAACACATCAGAGTTGTCCTAGACTTGATATTGATGTCGCATTATTTCTGAATTTATTTCAGACTTTCAGCGATGTTCGTTCAGTGGAAGGCGCCTGTAGTGACTTCGTAAAATCTCAAAATGTTATGCCGGTTCAGTCTCTCGGTGGTGTTCACAAGGATACGATGTGCGTGCATGCATTTATAGAAGTAAACATATGCTTATGTATGTGAGCGACTTCGATTGTACTGGAAGGGCGCCACTTGCAAAAGAAAAATTGTGTTTTTAGATCCAAATAGGAACCAAAGCTGACCAAACAGGCCCTGCTTGGCGGGCCGCCCCACGAGCAGGCCGGCACGGCACACGACAGGCCAGGCACGGGCTAATCATGCCATGCCAGGCACGCAGCACGCCTTGGGCCGAGCCTCGGCCGCCAGCCTCAGCACGGCTCGATTACTTTGGCTACCTCCTAGTACCAGAAAGAGATCAGCCTAAAAAAAAAAGTACCAGAGAGAGACTCAAAAAAAGAAAAAGCAAACAGAGAGTCAACTCCTTTGGTTCTTCTACCTCGGTGGGGAGCCAAACTCCATTCAGAATCGCCAAGCTGCAAGCAATGGGCGCCGTCGCTGCTCTGATCCTAGCCGGTCTACTCGCCGCGCTCACGTACGTGCTTTGCGCGCTCCACTCCATCGTGTGGGTGCCGTACCGCCTGGAGCGCCGCCTGCGCTGTCAGGGCATCCGGGGGCCTCCCCGCAGCCTGCTCTCCGGAAACGCGGCCGAATACGTCGCCATGACCAAAGCCGCCCAGTCCGCGCCGCTCGCCTCCTTCCACCACGCCTTCATCGGCCGCGCCGCGCCGCAGTACCGCGAGTGGGCGGCGCGATACGGCCGCCCGTTCGTGTTCTGGTTCGGACCCCGCCCGCGGCTGGTGGTCTCCGGCCCGGAGGTCGCCAAGGCCGTGCTGACCGACTCCACGGGGGCCTTCGAGAAGGGTACCACCGGCAGCGGCAACAACCCGCAAGCTCGGCAGCTCATCGGCGAGGGGCTGGTGGGGCTCACCGGGGAGAAGTGGGCGCACCACCGCCGTGTGATCTCGCCCGCGTTCAACATGGAGAGGGTCAAGGTGAGGAGGCGCTTCCTGAAATCGGATTGAAACATAAAATTGACCACTTGTCTTTACAGAACTACATTTTTTCCCATTGCTTTACAGTTTGTAGACTAGAAAGTCTTGCTAAAATCTTGGTTGCTCCGATACAGGCGTAGGGTGTGCCATCTCTTTACAAAACTATAAATTTTTTTCCATTGCTTTGAACTTGGTGCTGTTATTGAATATGACAGTATGCACGCTTATTTCGCAATTCATTTTTTCTTAAATGCTACTCTTTCTGCTAACTTTGATTTCAACTTCTAGCAATGTGTATATGAATATTTGAAATGAACTTATCTCAATAGCTTGACAAGCATGAATTGGTTGCCTATTGATTGGTAACATTTGTTACTGAAATTCAACCTTTTTGCATGACTGGTTATTTCCCTCACAGTTTGTAGCTGTCAGGAGCTATCAGAATAGTTCCTGGCCTGCGGTGTCCATGTTTCTTCTTTCAATTAAAACATGTGGATGTGCAAAAGCAGTTGTGATGTACATAATGCACTTAATAAGATATGGTATACCACTAAACTTGTTTGGATTTGGTAGGGTTGGATACCAGAAATATCAGCTATCACTTCATCCATGCTGGATGAATGGGAAGTCCAAGGAGAAACTCGAGCAGAGTTTGAGATCGATGTAAATAAAGAATTCCACACTTTGAGTGCGGATGTCATTTCTTGTGTGGCATTTGGAAGTAGCTATGAGGAAGGAAAGCGAATTTTTCAATTGCAAGATGAACAGATACAACTTGTCATACTTGCTATGAGAACCTTCTACTTTCCTGGCTTCAGGTGAGATTGACTCATAAACTTGAAGTTGGGTCACCATTTATTCTCTATTACTAAACATATACGGAGTAGTTCCTACATATTTCTACATTTTTACATCAGAAAATAAAATGTTTGCATCTCTCTCTCTTGCTACTCATGCTCTTCATTCACAGCTAGGGAAAAAGAATATGACCTCTTTCTCTCTTAGGTATGTGCCGACAAAGAAGAACCGAAGAAGGCATAGCCTAAACAAGGAGATCCGAAATTCCCTGCGCAGATTGATTGACATAAATCGAAACAAGTGTGAAGATTCCAAAAATTTGCTTGGCTTGATGCTATCAGCCAGCAAAGCTGACAATGAGTTTAAAATGGGAATCGAAGAGATCATTGATGAGTGCAAGACATTTTACTTTGCCGGTAAGGAAACAACTGCAAATTTGTTGACTTGGGCAACACTTCTGCTGGCATTGCATCAAGAATGGCAACACAAGGCCCGAGATGAAGTCCTTCAAGTGTGTGGCAAGAACGAGCACCCAAACGCGGAAACCCTGAGCAGTCTGAAAATTGTGAGCCTTATTTACTTGAATGAATACTACAGCTTTTCTTATTCTTGACGATATCACCTAACTGGAACATTATAATAACACTAGCGATGTTGTCATGATATCAGGTTAATATGGTGTTGAAGGAGACCCTCAGGCTGTATCCTCCAGCTCTGTTCGTCAACAGGACAGTCACCAGGGATGTGAAGCTGGGCAAACTTGACATCCCTGCAGGCACTCAGCTCAACCTGCCTATTATTGACATTCACCATGATGTTGACATATGGGGAGCTAATGCGGAGGAGTTTGATCCATCGAGGTTTGCAGATGGCAAGAGCTATCACCTCGGTGCATACTTCCCCTTTGGGATTGGCCCTGCCATCTGTGTTGGCCAGAATCTCGCGATGGTCGAGGCAAAGTTGGTGCTTGCAATGGTGCTCCAGCGGTTTGCGTTTGATGTCTCGCCATCCTATGTTCATGCACCAATGATGGTGATGACCCTCCAACCCCAATATGGTGCTCAACTTCTTATCCGCAAGATCTGAGCCCTCCGTGGCGTTGTATATGTGCCACGTATTTATACCTCCTGTATCAGTGTGGATTGTGATCAACTTGGAAGAGGAGGCTTTGAACTTGTGTGAACTTTGTAATGAAAGTGTGTATGTGTGTGCGCGCACTGATAAAAGGTATATGCTTTTCTCTTGAACTAGCATATATGCCCGTGCGTTGCAACGGTGAGATAATTTTTTTTGCAACAAACAGAGGGAGAGATAATTGATGTGTTCATCAAAAACAGTCTCCACGACGATGGGCGACAGAGTGAGTAGCTGCAGTCTTCTCACGAGTCATGTTTGGCCCACGAGGTCTTGATAGTGGTGTGGTTAGTCGGCGTGGCAGCGACCACCCAACGGGTACCTTTTTTTCCCTCCGGGTCCACCTCTGTCTCGGAGTTGTGGTTGCGTTCTCATTTGGTTGCTATGCGCGACCTTCGAGACACGGTTGCTTCGACCACTTTCTCCAACGATGACGTAATCAGATGGATTACTAATTATAGCGCATAAATTATGTTGCATTAGCATAATCAGCGCGTAACCAGGCATGAATGTCCCTTCATTATCAGGGTTTATTTTCTTCAACTATTTTTGCGCTCACATGCCCATAAATTTTATTAATTAGAGCAAAACCAATATATTCTGTTTTATTAGCATGTGCCCACAATTTCTTTCCATTATAGCCAACCAACATATTGTCTTTTATTAGCACGTGCAAGTTACCTCCAGCAATAATTTGTGGAGTCCCTCGTTCTGCTCATAATTCTCGAGACAACTTCCTTATTCTCACACAACCTCCTTATTTCCAGACAACTTAGAGACATATAAAACCAGTGTGATTTAGTATAAAATTTCAAGATGGGATTGTTCCTATTATAATTGCAAGCTAGCTGAGCTGGTTTTATCCATCGGCACAATAGGGAAGGTCCATAGTTCAATCCCCTTGCTGCTCGTCAGTTCGACAGAAACAAAAATACGTGGTAGGTCCAGTTTGGCCCACCCGGGGGATAACCGAAAAAATTGGGGAGCTACGTGTGGAATGGGCGGAACAAAATCTAAACATATATTTTTTTCTTTTCTTAGGGCAGCTGCATGGGAGATATTATATGACGCTAGTTGCATCAAATAGCGCATGGGACACACAACAGTTCGCGTCTGGGCACCCCCACTGGTAGGCATCGAAATAACCTGTGTTTGCAAGGCATGAGTAATAATCCAAAAAACGACATGTTGAACAATCAAACACAAGACCTTAAAAACCCAACCACGTGCCGCTAGCCACGACAACAAATGCCTACTGGTAACCGATAGCCAGGCGAATATTTAAGAACATAGTGCAACGTTAGATTTAAAATATTTTTTGAACTATTTGAAAAATATGAATTGCCGAATATTCTTGGAAACATGAACTTTTTTTAAATTATGAACATTGTTTTTAATATTCTAGTCATTTTGGAAAAAAACATGAACAAAATTTGAAACAACATCATCTTTTGAAGACATGAACCTTTTATCAATACCCAAACATTTTTTAAATTTGTGATCAACTTTTGAAAATGAAACATGTTTTGAACATTCAGAACAGTTTTATAAAATGTGTTTTTAACCATGGACAGTATTTTGAATCTGTGAACATTTTACTGAAACAGGAATATATTTCAAATTTCGAATATTTTTTAAATAGAAAAATTGGAATATTTGTGAATTTAAAGAAAATCGAAATGAGAAAATAAATTAATGTTTCAAACATTTTTAAAATGGGAAGAAAATATTGTAAATCAAACAATTTTCGAAAATTTGACAAAAATTAATTATGGAATAAGGTAAAAATAAATATAAATTTGGATGAGGAAAAAGAACGGGTCGGCTTGGGTGCCCTGTATGAACTCCGACTATCTACCGCAAAGAGCGAGATATAGGATTTTTGCCGCTACATGGACAGGCAAATAAGTGGGCTGATTTCGCTAGGCTACAACTTGTGCGGACCGAGTACAAAATTCTGTATTACTAAAAAAAACAGACGGACGCACCAAAATTTAGTACCACCTCGGATAGAAAAATAAATTTCGACGCTGAAGGGATGAAAAAATCGACGAAACACACCTTGCTTTATTAGTAGGGGTATAGATTTTTGTTTGTTTCTAGGATATTTTAGGTCATAAATTTGCACACATTGTTGTTAGCAAAGCCCCTCTAAGAGCATTTCCAACCGATAATGCAAAACAGGCCACCTAAAAAAGTTTTAGGGCAGAAGAGAGAAGGTTTTAGGTCACCAGAACATGATGTAAAATAGGGCACCCAAATACGTCCGTCTTCACAATTTCGTACATATTGAAACAACACATGAGCTATGGATAGAATTTAAACTTTACAGGATCACCACACATAATCAACAAGATATCAAATTGTACTTTAAATCCACATATCAAAATAAATTTCAAGCCATAAGCATAGTGCAACACAAACAAAAGCATAGTGCATTACAAACACAAATACATCACAACCATAAGCATAGAACATAAACGCATAGCCACTCAAATATCATTGCCTCCATTGCCATCACTTGTGCTTGCATGATCTCCATGGTTTGCTTCCATGCCTCCTCCCATGGCACCACCCATGGCACCCATGAATCCTCCCATTGCACCCTCCCATGGCACCGATGTAAAATAGACCATCGATGGCGGGCCGAAGCTTGCGATCGGTCATTGCCATAGTATTGTGTGCACCGAAGAACTCTTTGATACACTTCCAATAAGTGTTCATCGGTTCTTGGCACCGATGACCGCATCAAGACCAATTTTCTTTCATGCTAAACATAATAACTTGTCTTCGTCGACATGACAGTTTCTCGTTTTTACCTTTGGAGTTGCATAAAAAAGCCCTCCTCGTCCATGTCAAGATGGGGCTCCTTATATTGTGTTTCAATGGCCCTTGACGATGCCACCCGACAAGCAATGCCGCACAGACCAGTGCAATTGGGAGCTTGGCAACTCGTCATTTGGAGAACGGAGTCCAGGAGTTCTCCTCGCTAAGTGCTTCGCGAGGCTCCAACCCCGAAAAGCGCTTCCCGAATTCGCCCGGGAAGCACCGCACCCTACGGCTTCCTTCTCCGCGAAGGAAGCAAAGAATCTGCCTATCAGAGACATTAAATGCGAACCATCTCAAAACTGTTGAAGGAAATATGCCCTAGAGGCAATAATAAAGTTGTTATTTTATATTTCCTTATATCATGATAAATGTTTATTATTCATCCTAGAATTATATTAACTGGAAACTTGATACATGTGTGGATACATAGACAAAACATCGTGTCCCTAGTAAGCCTCTACTAGACTAGCTCGTTAATCAAAGACGGTTAAATTTCCTAGCCATAGACATGTGTTGTCATTTGATGAATGGGATCACATCATTAGGAGAATGATGTGATGGACATGACACATCTGCTAGCTTAGCATGTTGATCGTTCAGTTTTATTGCTATTGCTTTCTTCATGACAAATACATATTCCTTTGACTATGAGATTATGCAACTCCCAGATACCGGAGGAATACCTTGTGTGATATCAAACATCACAACGTAACTGGGTGATTATAAAGATGCTCTATAGGTATCTTCGAAGGTGTTTGTTGGGTTGGCATAGATCAAGATTAGGATTTGTCACTCCGAGTATCGGAGAGGTATCTCTAGGCCCTCTCGGTAATGCACATCATAATAAGCCTTGCAAGCAATGCAACTAATGAGTTAGTTGTGGGATGATGCATTACGGAACGAGTAAAGAGACTTGCCGATAATGATATTGAACTAGGTATGGAGATACCGATGATCGAGCCTCAGGCAAGTAACATACCGATGACAAAGGGAATAACGTATGTTGTCATTACGGTACGACCGATAAATATCTTCGTAGAATATGTGAGAACCAATATGAGCATCCAGGTTCCGTTGTTGGTTATTAATCTGAGAGGTGTCTCGGTCATGTATACATAGTTCTCGAACCCGTAGGGTCCGTACGCTTAATGTTTGATGACGATTTTGTGTTATATGACTTACGTGATTTGGTGACCAAATGTTGTTCGGAGTCCCAGATGAGATCACGGACATGATGAGGAGTCTCGAAATGGTCGAGAGGTAAAGATCCATATATTGGACGATGATATTCAGACACCGGAAGTGTTCCGGGGGTACCAGGTGCATATCAGGTCACCGGAAGGGGTTTCGGGCATCCCCCCGGCAAGTACATGGGCCTTAATGGGCCAAGAGGGGGACATACCAGCCCCTAAGTGGCTGGTGCGCCCCTCCCATATGGGCTGGCCAAATTGGAGTAGAAAAGGGGAAGGAGGAAAGGAAAAAGGGAATAGGATCCCCCCCTCTTTCATTCCTACTCCGAACAGGAATAGGAAAGGGGGGAGGCTGAATTGGGAGGACCCCAAGTATGATTCCTCCTACTTGGGGCGCCCCCTTGGTTGCCTCTCCTCCCCTTCAACCTATATATATGAAGGGGGGACACCGCTAGAACACACACCAACAATTGCTAGCCGTGTGCGGCGCCCCCCTCCACAGTTTATGCCTCCGGTTATATCTTCGTAGTGCTTAGGCGAAGCCCTGCGTGGATCACTTCACCATCACTGTCACCACACTGTCGTGCTGACAGAACTCTCCTTCAAAAATTTGCTGGATCAAGAGTTCGAGGGACGTCATCGAGCTGAACGTGTGCAGAACTCGAAGGTGCCGTACGTTTGGTGCTTGATCGGTTGAAACGAGAAGAAGTTCGAGTACATCAACCGCGTTGTCAAACGCTTCCGCTTTCGGTCTACGAGGGTACATAGACACACTCTCCCCCTCTCATTGATATGCATCTCCTAGATAGATCTTGCGTGAGTGTAGGATTTTTTTGAAATTGCATGCTACGTTCCCCAACTGTGGCATCCGAGCCAGGTCTATGATTAGATGATATGCACGAGTAGAACATAAAGAGTTGTGGGCGGTGATCG